ATCATAGATGTGGAAGCCCAGAGTGACATTGGGCAAGATGTTCGGATTCTGGTTGATCTCTTCAATAGCAAACGCTAAGGCCAGAATGTGCTGGTAAAACTTTGTAGTCATACTGCAAATAGAAGAGCAGAATATAACTGCTTGATTTGGTTACAAAGTTTGTTATAAGAAAGACAAGCCCATCCAGGAAACCCACAAGCGGAGCTTTGAAGGAACCTGCAGTTCTCCCTGTTCCCCTCCAGCAACTGGCATTCAATGGTAGGGTGTCTGCAGGCTCCTTTTAGCCAACATGATGAATAAATACTTTGTGAGGCTTTAAAGTCATTCCCTTCCTGTAGCTTTCACAGCAGCCTATGTTGGTGAATTCAGTCTACTATATGCTTTTTAAAAAGTATTTTTGAATAAATATTGTCAATCAGTTTTCTTCAGAAATTAGTTTGCTCTGGAGCCATCCTTCCTGAGCTAAGACAAAGGTGTATGACCAGGAGGCTAAAAACCTGTGAGCTAGCTCACACTAACTCAGCTTAGAGGGAACACTGGTACCAACCGCTGGTAAGCATGGCTATATAACCATTACAATGTTCTTTCCACAAACTGGGACTTCTCCAGGCTTGTAGAATAATCCTTTGTTTCTGTCCCTGGCCCCACTGTGTGGATTTGATGACCCATTTCAGAATTTTGTTGCCACAATTCTTGTAACTTCATTCATTGGGCATATTTTTGGTTATGCCCCTTTAAATCATATCTAAGATATTTTATCCTATAAATGTAGGGAATCATTACAATAAAATAGGTCGTTATACAATTGGAGTGTGAAATAAATTCCTTACACTGAAAGGTGAATAAAGTCCTCAGATGGGTGTTCCACGAAGTAAAGTTGGTAGGGCAGGTAACCAATATGAGATGCAATCTCACCAATAAGGACTTCACCTGGCCTGTACCACTGGTGTAGAATTTGAAGAGGATTATCTCCGGTACACTTCACAGTATGCGCTGTGCACACCATGTGAGGCAGCAGCAGCAGCATCAATGCAGACTTCACCATTCTGATGGGAAAGCAGTTCTGTGCACATGGACCCTCCCAGCCTTATCGCTAGTCTCCCAGCCATCAGCTGACTTATAGTTGTTGAAAGCATATGAGTGAGACTTATGTTTTCATGTTATAAATACATTATTTGAATGCTAGCCAAGAGACACTGATTAATCTTACACAAATGTCTTGCCTCTAATTCTTTTGAAACTATTTCCAAATACCTTCTACACACTGATTGGGGCTTTGACTGAATGAACAAATAACAGATAATTTGATAATTATAGGAATTACAATCATTTCTGCACAACCTTTGAGAACCTTCCAGCACAATGATTTGCAGAATTTTTGAGACAAAATTATTTCTCTGCTCTCAGCAAGGTCACTATGGGCAGACACACTGATGCCCCCCCCATCCCTAGGATATAATTGAATGGAAGATAATGCACCTATAAGAGACTGCTATAATTGTGCATCTCCACTCCGTGGGGGGGGATTCCAGGTCTCCTCCCCCAGAGATGGTTAGACATTTAGGGTTTTTTGCAAAAAAGAAATAGCACATCAAGTAAGCATCTGGAAATTAATTATTTTCCCCACCCCATTAGACTATCAACCTAGACTTGGCTCCCCAATCCATAGTAATCTTCCCTGTATAACAGTAAAAATGATAAAAAACCAGCTACTGTGGAGAAGATGACAATATGGAGTTGAGATACAGTACATTATGAGAGGGGTTAAATACCATTCAAGGCCATTTCCCCGATTCAAAGAGCTACCAGGAGCAACATGGGGTAAATAGCAGTTCTGGGGAATATGGGTTTTCAGTGTCTCTAGAATGATAAGAGTGTTATTGTCCCTGAGCATGGAGGAGCCATTTAATTATTCTGGCTAATAGACTTGTTCCTTGTGAATGTTTAAGATTCCTTTTTGAGTCTAGCAAAATGTCTACATCCTGTAAGGATGAATCCCACAGGTTTGATTTCTCTTTGACTACAGTGCTTTCTTTTGTCCACCCTAAGTTGTTGCCAGTCAGGTTCCCTGAGTGCTCTCTAACCCATTTCTCCTATCACACATGCATATCCCCATGTTTCTCTACATGAAAAGGCCCACTCACACAATAAAAGCAAGTGCTATACTATTCCCTGTGGACTCTCTCTGCTTCCTTCCACACAATGTGTGATCTGTCCATTTACCCCTACTTCCCTCTTCTTGTTATGACAGTTTGTAGTCTATGAAAGGAAATCATATCCCATGATGGCTAAATTTATTTTGGACAAATTTGTTTGAAGCCATACTCTTCCAAAATCAAAATCCCAAAACAAACTACAATCCAGCGCCAATGTATGTAGGAGTGGGATGGGAGGAATGAAAGAACTGGGACATCCTTGCACAGTTTCATCCTCAAACATCCCTCTTCCATTTTTGATGGAAGCAGTTTTATTCACAAGAACCAAGCATGTGAAGACAGCTCAGAAAGGGAGGGTGGACATTAGCCCCTGTGTGACCATTAACATTCCCTGACCAATCACCTGTGTGGTGCAGTGCTTAGAACATCTGACTAGGATCAACGGGTCCCAAGTTGGAATCCACACTCTGCCACAGAGGGGTGTTGTGTGATCTTGAGTCAATCACACCGTTTCAGTCTAATGTAACTCACAAGGTTGTTATAGAGGAGATACAATGGAGGACAGGAGAACATTGTGATCCACTGTGGGCTTCTGTTGTGGAGAAAGGCAGCACATACAAGGAAGGTGGAAAATATTCCCTCCTTTACAAAAGAAATGGGGGCTTAGAACCTGTGTTATAAAGTGTTTAGTGTGTCAGAGTAGGGTCAAGGAGATCAAAGCGGAATCCCTGCTCTGCTATTGAAGGTTGCTGGGTAACCTTGGGCCACTGACACATTCTCAGCATGACCTGCATTGTAGGGTTTTTGGAAAGATAAAATGGCAGAGAGGAAAACAACGTGAGCCATTTTTTGTCCCCACTGGGGAGCAAGGGTTGTTATGATTTTTTGTTATACATCTATTTTGGCTCCATTTTGCAAAAGAGGATAATCTCTCTGGCTGTTGGGGAGGGGAGACGCCTCAGCTGAACAGAATGCCATACAACCCACCTTCCAAAGGAGTTATTTTCTCCGGGGGAGGGGGGAGAGATCTGTTGTCTGGAGTTCAGTTGTGATAACTGGTGATCTTCAGGCTTCATCTGGAGGTTGGCTGCCCTAGGCGTAGCAATCAGTGCTTCAGAGCAGGGTCTGCTAGATCCAGGTTCTTGCTGCAGAAGCAGAGTGAGTGATTTTGGACCAGTCACAGACTTTCTGCCTAACCTACCTCAGAGGGTTGTTGTGCTAGTCAAAACAGGGAGAGGAGAATGATGTAAGCTGCTTTGGTCCCCATTGCAGAGAAAGACTGCTTTTCCTCCTGGGAAACCATTGTTGCCAATCTCCAGGTGAGGGATGGAGATCACTCAAAATTACAACTGCTCTCCAGATGGCAGAGATCAGTTCCCCTGGAGAAAATGGTGGACTCCCTCGCAGTCAGGGATTCAGAGCATGGAAGAGGCTGCAGGTGTGTGTGTGTGGGGAATGGAAAGCTGAAGAATGAGGGGGATAAAGGTAGGTTGATGATTTGCTGGGAAGGAGATAGGGTTGCCTACTCCAGGTAAGAAATTCCTTCAGATTTGAGGGATGGAACCTGGAGAGGGTGAGGTTTGAGGAGGGGTGGGACCTCAGACAGGTACAATGCCATAGACTCCACCCTCCTAACCAGGCATTCCCTCCTTGGGAACCACTGTTGCCAATCTCAGGAGAGGGGTGGAAATCACTCAGAATTACAACTGATCTTCAGGGTGGAGGGAAGAGGAGATGGAAAGCTGACATCAGAGGGGCAGATAATGGCAGGTTGATGCTTGGCTGGGAAGCAATTAGGGTTGCCAACTCCAGGTTGTGAAATTCATGGAGACTTGAGGGTGGAGCCTGGAGATGGTGAGGTTTGAGGAGGAGTAAGACCTCAGACAGGTACAATGCCGTAGACTCCACCCTCCAAACCAGCCATATCCTCCTGGGTAACAATTGTTGCCAATCTCCAGGTGAGGGCTGGAGATCACAAAACATTACAACTGCTGTTCAGGTAGCAGAGATCAGTTCCTCTGGAGAAAATGGTGGACTCTGTGTCATTATACCCTGCAGAGGTTGTCGCAGCACATTGACGCTGAGTGCCCAAGGCCTTGGCACTCTCCCCGAGCCTGTGCTGGAGGGCACTGGGCTGGCTCAACAGGATCCCATCCTCATTGCCAGTGAAATATACTGGGTTTGAGACACGTATAATGATCAACTCTTAGTTTAATAGTGATTTTAGCTGAACTCTAAGACAACTCAGGCAGGGCCAGAGCCCTGCTTATATACATGCAAAACACCCCACCCCACACATACCAGTGATAGGCTATTTACAAAACATTGCTACTTGACTGGCTTATTCCAGAGTCCTGGTCGGCTATTGTTCCTGTGCCCCAAGCTCAGCCAGTCTCTAGGGTCATTCAATCAGCGTGATTCAATCAGCCAGTCTCTAGGGTGATTCAATCAGGGATGATTGAATCCAACTGTGAGGTTACAGAAGCATGGATCAGTGTGACCAGATCAGCAGAGACTATAGAATCAGATGCAGTGGATAGAAGGTGCCCCAGTCTATCATGTCAACCTGCTTCTCAAAAACCAAGGGAAGGGCCGTGAGCATCCTCAAGCTGTTAACCTGCTCTGAAAAAAAACATGTTTCTCCATCTAGCACAAGTGGATTCAATCATTCTAGAGCACCAGTCCTTCTGACCATCATTACCTGTCTTCTCTGGAGTTAAACAACTGGTTTGACTTCAAGGTCAGACTCATGAAGAGTAAATTACAATAGTCTATTCTTGATATTACCAAGGCATGTATCCAAGATGTTAAATCAACTGTCAAAGAACATTTTACATTTAATCATTACAGACTAGAATTTGTTTTCTTTTTAAATGCTCTCTGTTGTTCATCTCAGGCCTCGCTATTAGGATGAAACATTTGGGCAAAAAGATGCAGCCCAATAACCCAGTGCTGGAGGCCAAGATGGAGAAAATCTCCACAACCACCATGTATCTCCCTTTTGTGCTCAAGTAAGATGGAAGGAAGGAAAGCCAAACACTGCAAAAAACCCAACATGCTGAAAGTGATGAACTTGGCTTCATTAAAACTGTCTGGTAGCTTTCTGGCTAGGAAAGCCACGGTGAAGCAGAGAATGGCCAGGAAGCCCAGATAGCCCAAGACACAATAAAACATGCTAACTGATCCTTCATTACATTGTATTATAATTTCTGTAGAAACTGAGTTCATATCCAAATCTGGGAATGGAGGAGAAGCAGCCAACCAAAGAGCACAAATGCTTATTTGAACCAAGGAACAGGAAATGACAATAGAATGAGCCAGGGATTGTTTCGTAGAAAAAGAGCTAGGGGAACTCATTAGCATAACTCATTAGCATATGCCACACCCCCTGACATCAGGGGCCCGGCGGTGGACCTGCAAGGCCGGCGGGAGTGCGAGGAAGCCCCACCAAGGCCCTCCCTGGCCCCAGGCAGGCAGGGGTGGGGAGAGGCGAGGAGGAAGCAACTTACCCTCCCTCTTCTCCTTCCTCCTCCTGGCTGAATGAGGGCCAGAAGTGGGGGGGTCAGAAGCAGGGGGCGGGGCTTCGTTATGTGCCCCGCCCACCCGCACCTCACCTGGAGTAACTGCAATCCCCCACAATCCCCCCCGAATCGACCTCTGGAATGAGCCAACCTTTTCCCCACCCACTTCTGGAAAATGTTTCTCGGCTTGGAGGCCATGAAAGCCACCACCGCTGTAATGGTTTTTGCCAGCACAGAAGATACAGCAACAGAGAAGACAATGAAAAAAGCTGTTTGTTGGAGGAGGCAGGTCACCTGGTTAGGCTTTCCAATGAAAAGCAAAGAGCAGAGGAAGCAAAGAAACAGAGAGATGCTAATTTTACCATTCTATTCATTTAATTTATTTTCGCATTCCTTCACATCTAGGCATTTTTTTTACAACTGTTTTACATAGATTGGTAACATTTGAAACAGAAAAGTCAACTTTGGCAATATGTTCTATTTAACAGCAGAAATTCTTCCTAACCACAATTTTTCAGTCTTTCCCATCTTTGTAAATCTTTAGTAATATTCACCCAAACGTTTTGATAATTATCTTTATATAAATTATCAATTTGTTGTTACATATATACCCAAATATTGGGGGTTTTCAAACAGTACATTCTGTTATTTTCTCTCTCTCTTCTTGTTCTGCTTTGGTTGTCTCTAATATCATTATTTATTATTTATTTTTATTATTATCATGAACTTTTTAAAATTCAATTTATATACAGAATAAATTCCAAATCTAATTATTTGTTCCATTGTATATTTCAAGGATATGTTTTGTTTTATTACTGTTATAACATCATCCACATATTTATATTTACGTATTTTTTGCTTTTAAATAGGAAACCAGTTTTTTGCTCACTCATGACTCTTTATTTCTGCACTACTGTCTGTATCCCCTCACAAAAAATTCCATATAGCATGTACACCTTTCTGATCATTGCTTCTGCATCTCTAAATCAACAATATGCTTACTACATATTAGTTGATACTTACTAAAGCTTACTACATCTTAAATGCTAAAAGCTCACTGAGTTGCTTCAGGGCAGTTCATGGATTTGAATCCTGGTCTCTAAGATTTCCATGCATTCTCTAAAAATACACTACACTGCCTCAGGGCATACTTTTGCTCATCATGCTTGAGATGGGATAGTAGGGGTGATTTTCTTTGTGAGCATGTGAACACTCATAGGAAAAATGAAGAGTTTGTTCAAATTTGGCCAGGCTAAAATCAATATGACATGCTGAATCATGTTGGTCCTTTTGCATTTCTGGTACCTATTAAAAGAAGAGATAGTGGATTGTAAGGAAGCAGATCTGTGAAAGACACTGTTGTACTATCCCCCTTTTCATATTCAGAGGCCATGTCTCAGATTAGTTCAGAAGAAGCTCCAGACCTACGCCTGGTTGGGGATTACAATGATCACAATATAAACATGGGACTCTCACATTTGATTATGATTGTCTAATTAGCCCAACTAGCTTGATAATATTTGCTTAACTAAGCTGAATTAAGCAGGGTTACAAACTTCTAAATACACTGAAGTCAACCAGTTAAAAAAGCACAGACAGAGCTACCAGCTGCTGTTGTTGGCCCTTCAGCTAAAGCAAAAATCCCATTTCAGTGAAGACATAACACATAGAAATGGGTTATACTTGGATTTTATTATTAGGAATCAAAATTACTCAGCAGCAAATTGTATTCAATGGTATTGATGTAAAATATTAAGAATATAGTAAGGGATATTCAATTCTTACTTATTTCTTCTTATTAAACACTCTTTACTGTTTAATTCAGGCCTCAAGACAATTATATAACATTTGGGTGAAAAAATACAGCCCAGTAAACCAAACCCAGAGGCCAAGATGGAGAAGATCTCTACAGTTATCATATATTTCCCTTTGGTACTTACATACATTGGAACAAAAGACACCCACACACTGCAAAACACCAGCATGCTGAAAGTGATAAACTTGGCTTCATTGAAAGAGTCAGGCAGCTTCCGAGCAAAGAAGGCTACAAAGAAGCTGGTAAGTGAGAGAAACCCCATGTAGCCCAGAATATAGTAAAGCATCTTGGCAGATCCTTCATTGCATTCCACTATGATTTCTTCAGCCAAAGAGTTCATGTCAACATCTGGGAATGGAGGGTCATTGCAGAGGCAAGCCAGGCAAAGACACATTTGACCGAATGAACAAAAAGCAATAACAGAGTTTGCAAAGCATTTCCCCAACCATTTCTTCATCCTGGATCCCGGTTTAGAGGCCATGAAAGCCAAGACCACAATGATGGTTTTCATGAGCACAGAAGAAATGGCTAGTGTGAAGAGGACACCAAAAGCTGTCTGGCGTAGAAGGCAGGTGAGAAAGTGAGGTCGGCCAATGAACAGCAAGGAGCAGAGGAAACAGAGCAGAAGGGAGACGAGCAGAACATAGGAGAGTTCTCTGTTGTTGGCTTTGACGATGGGAGTGTTCCGATGCTTAATGAAGATTCCAAGCACCACAGCCGTGGTCAGAGACAGAGACAGAGCGAAAACAGCCAGACTGATCCCGAGAAGTTCATCATAAGATAAGAAATGGAGATTCTTTGGAAGGCATCCATTTTGGTCTTTAGTTGGATACTTATCTTCTGGGCATTTGAAACAGTCATCCATATCTTTGAAAGGGGGGGGAAAGTGCAATTTTACTCTACGTCACATTTGAGGTTAGCTGAATGATGTTTCATTGAATTGTTTGAAATGCTATACTGCTTGCTACTGAATTGTCAACAGTGCAAACATCCAAGCTATTATGTTCATTTTGAAATAGCACAAAGATATTTCTGCACTGCAGAATGAAACTCTGCCTCGGATCCAGACTAGCATTTGCATAGGTGTAAAGATTTCTGCCTATTGGCTCTGACTCTCTTGTCTGTCACCTTGCACAACAGCCTGAAATACCCCCATTTTGTTCCTGGGAGAGAGGGGAAGAACAGGGGACACCCAAGGAAGAAGAAGAAGAAGAAGAAGAAGAAGAAGAAGAAGAAGAAGAAGAAGAAGAAGAAGAAGAAGAAGAAGAAGAAGAAGAAGAAGAAGAA